TACGTAAACTGAATCACGTGATAAGATTTACTACATCTCAGTTGCATCCGATGTGGATTCTTAAACGCGGCATATACTGTGAAATTTCTGTTTCATGACGTTTGGGGTTGCAAAGCTGTATCGTAGATGTTGGACTTGTTAAAAAATAAAGTATTCCTCGGACTTATAATTTTTTATTAATACATTTATTTTAATGAGATTGTACTTATACTGTCTTTCTTTTTTCACAGCTAAAGTTCTTCACAAAATGATGGACAGTGTTGTATCCTGGAATATGTAGTAGCCATCCAGCTACTTCATACATAATACAATTTTCATATACATTACATTTTTTAAATATTGGATTTGTATTATATATATTCTTTAATAAATTTATTTTTTGAATATTCTTGTTTTTTTTATCTAAAAACTGTTAGCCAAATTAAGATTTGTTAACACAAACTGCATTTTTGCTTTATTATAGCGATATTCGCTATAATAAAGCAAATATGCAATTTGTGTGAACAAATCTTAATTTGGCTAACAGTTTTTAATGCGGATAATTTTTACTGTCAAATTTGAATAGCCCCGCGTTTTTCTTCTTTTTATTATTTTCTCTTCTTTCATGTGGCCTCTTACCAGACAAGGACTTAATTGAAAAAATCAACCACGTCCACCAGGTGCCGCTAAAAACTCTATCATCCTTTTTTTAACATGGGAGATACCGTTCTAAGAGTAAGTGTTCTGTGGGCTGTGCCTCGAGAGCATTCAATCAAGCAACGTCGTGCGGAAGTAATTTTATTTTAGTTGAATATGGCTGGCAAAGAACTTCAATCAAGATTTTCTGCAGCTGAAGATGAACTGGTGACTGGACTACACATATATACTACATAATATGATGAATTTCCTACATTTTTTTTTTCTAACAAAGTACTTATTATAAATACTTCTTCCTCTAGTAACTCCATCGTGATGAGATCTAGAGTTCTTTTCTCATCATATTATTATTACTACTAGCTATTTTTAATATTAAACGCACTGTAAAACGTTTTAATTCGAACTGATTTACGCGAACTTGGAAAACAACTGATTTGCGCCAAGTTGGAAAATACTGTTCACGCAACGCACAGTGCGTGAATCGCACTGCGTATACGGCAGTCGTTTTGCGCTCCCGTTTAACGCAGCTAGGAAAACGTATCTTTTACTTGTATCAAAGTAGTATAAATTGAAATTAGTCGGTTACTTTTTATTAAAAGTGCTTCTACTCACTGTGCTATTGAAAGATGAAATAATTATTTCACTTTTTTGTATTATATGCATATTTGTATTTTAGAATTTACCATCTAAATTTACGTTTAGAAAATTTTTGGATATAAAAACTGTATGTTGTACCTTATAGTTTAAATAAAAAACGTATTTACAAAAACTATTTTTATAGTTTTATTTAATGCAATTATTCCGAGATTTTATTGTAGAGAACTAATTTACACAAACGTCAAGTAAATTCAAAATCAGAAGCGGTTTCTCCATTGGCTCATTTGTGCAGTGAACAACCAATTACATTTCATAGAAACACATTATTTTAAAATAAATAACATAAAAATAATAATTCAATTTTAATAATTTTATTGTGTTTATACGTGTTAAAATCTATTTTTGAGTACGTCACTGCGCTCTGGCTAATCGCGTGTCCGTGGCGCTCTTTTATAAGTGAGCCCAAGGGAGTAAGAAGTATTCTCGAAAGTTTTTAGCTAAAAAGATGTCACACGTTAACAGATCCGTGAAACAAACATAACATCACTTAATTTGAGCAACGCATACAGTGACGTCACAAAGTAGGGCGGGGCATACGAACTTTCCAATCATTGATATAAAATAAAGAGGAGATGCTATGACGATACTAAAAGTGTCCGCACAGTTTTACGTCATATGTCAAACTCGAAAGTGGAGCTAGTTAGTTTTAGAGAGAATAAATACCATTTTTTTTAATAGCATGACTTAAATGATACAAAAACATTTTCATTCAGTCAATCTTCAAATATAAAATTATTAACGTCAAATTAATCAAAATACGACTCAAAGTGCGTTCACTTGTCATATAACAAAATAGTGTTTATGTCCTCTCTACATTATTATATTACGATGTTTCAATCAAGCTGTCAAACTCTAAAATGCACCATAAGACAATTTTAATTGTGTTTATTTAAAAACCGTGTTTAAATAAAACTTCGAATTTAATAAATCGGAAGTATTTGTGTCAATTCAATGATTGTTAACGAAACACGTCTCCAAACTCTAGGTAAAATATTTACTATTATTTTTGAGGTTATGTTTATTTATATTTAGTTTCATTTCAGTTTCTACACAATAGTGATGTGTTTTATATCCAACTCTAAAACAGAAAACTGCGTAAATGGACTCTTTTATAGGAAAACCATCAAAATTAAGCGATGACTGAGTTCCATCAAGAAATGGGCTCTTATGGCAATGATATAAAGTACGTAACTTTAAACAGATCTTAGACTGCAGTTGCCAGCCAAAAAAATCATTGTACATTGTACCAGAGGGTATTTCACAAGTATGACAACTTTTTATATATTTTATTTGAACGAGGATAATTTCTTGACCCTAGTACAATTTTGTATGAATATTTGTTTTATTTATAGAAATATGCCATATCTATAAATTAAATGCTAGAGATACTGATAAACAGTATCAGATTGTGAGGTGAGGATTTTACTCAAATGATGATGTCGCAAGCATTTACAAAAAAATGGAAGCTAAACTTACATTACAGTTTTTTTTAAAGATGATATAAAAAATAAATGTTGCACTTGGCTAAATTAATTCAAGAAACTAAGTAGTTGTGTCTATGTTAGGTATGTACCTATATCATGAGGACTAAAATAAATATTTCTGATATCAATACCTGGGGTAAACTGAACTATGTCGTACTATTTATAGAGGCATGTTGGAGATATATGACACTGTCATAGAAAAATTGTTAGTAAAACTCACAATTCATGTATATTAAATTTTTTTTAATACTTAGCTTATTAGTAAACAATACATATTGTGACAATTGAAGTTAACTGCATTTTTTGTCGAAATACATATAATTGATATATATGTAAATACGGAACATCGAACACAAAACTGTTGAAACAACATTCAGTCTGCTCAACTAAAAAGTTGACTAGAATGACTGCAGTTTATTTCCGAGGCACTGATTACCTATTAAATAATTTTCAAAACTTTGACTATCATTTTTTATTGTACCTACTTTTTTAGGCTATTATGTTATTGTTTTAACCTTGATTATACTATATACTCTTCACATAGTAGTCTATGAAGAGTATTATAGATTTACTTTGTCCGTTTGTCCGATGTCACGTTTTTTGTCTGCACAAGCATAAGTCAAAACCGAAAAATGATATCAACTTGAAAAGCAAAAAACAAGCTCTATAAGGGGAAAAGCCTATTGATTTTGAAAAAAATCTGATTAAAAATATGGGGTTAAGATGAGTTAAAAAAAATGAACACCCTTTTTAAATTACATTAAGCCGCCACTGGCCAAAATGTTGGGAACGAATTTATATGTTATTTTCAATCCTCATTAACATATTGGAAACCAATTTACATGTTAGTTTAAACCCCCTCATTGTTATTCTAGGTAGAAAAATTAAAGAATATTTCTAAGAATCGTCATTTGAATTAACTATATTATTGTTTATTAGTAAATAATTTCAATTGTTCTAATATATGGGGAAAACATTTCAAATGCTAAAGGTGTCAAGAGATAACAACAGCTAGATGGCGTTAATGAACACCAAAAAGTGCTTATTTTATATTCACAATTCACAAAGCCTTCCTGGTAAATTATGTAACGATGTCCATGTGCAACTTTAAGGTAAGCGCACACTGGATTGCAGGAAAGAATGGAGCCAAGAATCCATGATTCAAACTAGGCCAATTTCTAAAATTCTTCGTTTCATATAATATTCATAATCAGAAAACTTATTTATAATTATTTTTGTGCATTGCAGCAGGTTGATCCAGTGCTGTCAATTATTTTCCATTAAGTGACTAAACGAAAAGAGGCTAAAGTGGGCAGGATTATCTTGAAGAATATAGAATACAGTACCCCATATGAATGTGAAATCTCGGAAAATAATAAAACGAAAAAGAGTAATCATTTGAGAAATACTGTTTTTGATCTAGAAAAGATAATTTACGACAAATTCACCTGTCATGCTTAGATTTGATTCAAAAACAGTTATTAAATAACCAACAACAAGATTTTTTTCAGTAAATAATGATCAGCTAAGACTATAGAAGATCAGATCGTTTCTTTATACCAGTTTCGCCTCAAAAATAAAAGCACAATTGAGGTATAGTATATTCCTACAGAGTAACAGACTAATTTCTCCAAGCTTACATAACAAAATGAAATATTTAACCTAACTTATGTTACGCAAATTTTTATTTAACTTGCATAATTTGTCAGTTCAAGAGAAATATTATCAAATTCCAAATAAGAATCATTATATTCAATAATTTTTAAATTTAAGTTCGACTTAACAAACGCCGCTTATCTATATTCAGGAAAATTTAAATTAAATACGAATACATCGCGTAGAACTGTCAGTCATGAAATTCATGACTATCTACGATGCAGCTGTTGGCCAGTAGCTATAACATAATGAATAATCTGTCTCTTGAGTTAGAATGAAATACGTGTAAAATACATAAGCGGAAAGTGTTTCAGAATTTTCTTTCAATCTCAAGAGCTAGAATGTTTTCTGTCTGTTATTATGTGGTTTCGAAAGAACTACATTCAGTACTGGACGTGAAGAAAATATTTTAAGAAAATATACTTCAATGTGATAGTATTCATTTATTTTAATTTCGAAGTTGGTTTTTTTGGCCACTTTTGAGTACTTCGTGGCCCATTGTGCACCCGGTACATGGTATTGTAATAGAAAAAAAGTAACTAGTTATTTTTTAATTAATTTACTGACCTTTGATCCCACGCCTGCTGCGAACACGGTTTCCAACTAGTCTGTCCTACGGTGGTGTTGTCCAATTTAAGAACCGCCATGATATCCTCGCTGACCTCCTCCTTCACGCTGTAACTTTTCGTTTTTTTGAAAAATCGCAAGTCAATCGGCGACGAACTACCGTCCGATTCTTTTTTCGGTCGACCGGGTACGTCTTCCAAGAGATCTTGACAACCCATAAGTCTTACTTCGAGGGTACCAGTCACTGCCGCACACCTAAAGTATTCCAATAAAGTATTTTCCAAAAATATAAAAAAAATATTTGGTACCTTTGCCCCTTAAGCCTGCCCATGTAAAAAGTTTGGTCTTTTTACCACTTATGCCTGCCCATGTAATATTTAACACATTAGTACTTTAAGCACGCCTATGTCAACATAGTTCAGATGTTTACTCAAGCTCCCATTTAAATAATATTTGGGATTTTTACCTTTTTTATTTAATATCAAATTCATATACGAGTTCCATTCTGGAATTTGTTACAACTCGTGTAAAAATCATCGTTAACCCATAGGCAGGGGCCTCAGTAAAAAGGTTATTTACCTGTTGAGCATCGAAGATGACACGAAGTGCTTGCTGGTATCTGATCCTACCCTGAAGGGCTGCAAACTGGTATAGTGCACGCTCATGGGACTGCATGATTGAGCATTGGCCAATTCTTCTTTTAAATGCTGCGCCACCGGCGAATCTTCCGGATAGGCGGCTTTCCTTAATTCTAACGATTTTTTCAGTAGATCTAGTTTCATACTGCTCGCGCGCAAGCTTTCTTGAGCCTGAAACGGTGCAATAAGTAAACGGAAATATTTATATTTTCATGTATAGCTCAAGTCACTAGACCTACAAAATAATATAAAGTAGCTAAAGTGCGCACACTTTGCTTCATATCGCCACAATATACGTGGTGAATGTATATTGTAATAATAATTCTGCAAACTGAAGGATAAATGTCACACTTTCTCATAATAAACAACATATCATCTATAATCTAGCGCTCTCTATAATTTAAAAAACGGCTCAAATGATTTTAACTTAAAACTTAAGGCACAAATAGAACTTATTAACTGGCTTTTGTAGAATTAATTAATAGCTTTAATAGTATCTGATAAATAAATAAAATTTTAATTAGGATACTCTGTGTATTAAGCGATGCATTAGTATGACGTCAGTGAGCCATTCTGTCATTGATTTTTACATGAAAGTTTTGAGTTTTTTATTATATTGTTCGAAGATTCTAAAAATTAACATGCTTTTGGATGAATAAAATCTTGAAAATAAGAGAAATCAATTAGCACTTAACCTTTACTTTTTTTTAAGAAATGATTACTAAACGATTATTTAACTAAAATGTTATACATATAATTACTTTTGGAATATATTTTAAGGCCTAAAATCACTTAAGTGAAATAAAAACTAGATATTAATTAATCTATAAACAACTGTGTTTGGAAATTACATTCTTTTTGTGCCTGTTTTTTAGTAATTGTATTTGCCTGCAGAACCATGAAATAAATAAATTAATATATATGCCTAGTGACTTGAGCATATTCTTTTATAAATGTAAAATGATGTAAAAGAGATTAATCTTCTTCCAGGTTACTGAAACAATTTTCAGTTAACGAGTTTTTATTTTTAGATAAAAAAATATAATTAATAAATTGTTTTCAGCCAATCGACTTGAAAATAGTCTAGTTTAGGATAAAAAACACAAAAAATATGGTTAAAATAATTTATACGGTCAAATATTTAATGGTTTTTTACGTGTAATTTACCCGACGAATTATTGTGCGAGATCAAAACCAGCTGTGAAAAAAATGTTTTTTTGTAAAAATATATAAATAGTTGAAATATGATCTCTTCGTTCAATTCAATATATTTTTTTTGTTTTTTAATTACATAGTGATAAATATGTAATCAGTAATAATGAAAATGTGATGTGAATCACCAACGTACAAAACGCTTGAAATAAAATATTCCATTAAATACCGAAATTCTCTATATTATGTAGGGAAGGAGTGGGATAGTTGATCAGCTGGAATATATAATCATTTACTTTTATCTCTTATTTACGTGTAAATTCCATCATTTTTTTTCTTGGAAATTAAATGTTTGTGTAGCTCGCCATTTTTTGACAATTGAAGTTTTTTGTGTATTTGGGTGACAAGAAATTTTTTTTTCTAGTTTGTTTTCGGCAGTTTGATTTAGTGCTTAAGGTTAGTATTTTCAATATTATTAATTATATAACATACTAATTAGATATTGACGTTTATTTTAGTATTATTTTTAGTTTTGTCTAAATTAGAATGCCTTCACAATATTGAGTATCGTGAAGCATGCAGAGAGGGATACTTAAGCAGTGTCTGTAGGGATACTTGATCATGATCAAGTATCTCATGCTCATGTATCTTCTCCTGGAATTTTAAGTATAAGTAAGTTTTAGAAAGCGGATTAAATATATATTTATTACAAAAGAAATTAGGCAAAACAGCCAAACTCTAAGTTATTAGCAGTGACAAAAAGATACGGTGTCGATAGAATGACTTTGAAAAGATAGATACACAAATATGAAGAAAATATCATTGTTATAACTATAATGACTTCCGATTACAAGAAGAGAATGATATATTCTGAGGATAATGAAAAAGAACTTTTGAATATTTGAAAATCTGCGAAAATATGCACCATGAGCTACAGAAGAATAAGAAAATTAGTGCATAATTTAGCAGAAAAGAACAATATTCCAAGGCCAGCAAAATGGGATGAAAACAAAAGAGCAAGTGAAAACTGGATGAAAGGGTTTATGAAACGTAATACTTCGTTATCTCCAAGAACTCCTGAAGGAACAAGCCTGTGTAGACCAAGCGCTTTTAACAAGAAGAATGTGGGTGACTGGGTACACTACAGTGCAACGAACAAAAAAAGTAGTAGCACCAAAAGGCCAAAAGCAGGTTGGTCAAGTCACCTCTGGAGAAAGAGGGACATTAGTCACAGTGTGTGCCATAAGCGCCTCAGGAAAATATACACCATCATTTATGGTATTCTCTACAGTTAATTTCAAGCCTATAATGTTGGCTAATGCTTTTGAAGGGACAACCGATGTTGCCCACCCATCAGGTTAGATGACCAGTGAAAATTTTGTGCTGTTCTTTCAGCATTTTGCGAAATATGCTGGATACACAAAGGAGAAAACGGCACTGATTATCATGGACAACCATGAAAGTCACATATCACTTGCCAAATAAAATGGTATAATTTTGCTTACACTGCCTCCACACTGCACTCACACGCTACAGCCATTAGATGTTGCTGTATTTTCTTGATTCAAAAATGCATGTGACAGAGCTGCAACCAACTGGATGACCGATCATCCTAGTAGAACCATATCAATATATAAAATAGCTGGTATTGTGGCAAAAGCCCTACCTATATCATTTACATCTAAAAACATAAAGAGTGGTTTTCGAAAAACGGGTATTAGTCATTTTGATAAAAACATTTTTAAAGAGGACGACTTTTTACCATCTTATTTATTAGATCGTCCACAACCGCAACTTGTAGGTGATGATAAATCAGAAGGAACAGTAGGTGGTGACAAAATAGAAATTCAATCAGGATCGTCGTCAATTGAAATATGTCCACAAGCTGTAGGTGCTAACACCCAAAATTGGATATCATGTCAGATCCTCAACCAAGTACATCTTTAAGCACATCTTCATGTTTAAGTAAACTTCATCTTCAGGCTATAGCTATGTAACCCAAAATTAAATACCGTTTCAAGTCTCCAATCAAGCTCATCTTCATTTGCAGTTAGTACCTCTGTTGTTTTACCATATCCTAAGGCAGGAGTCTGCAAGAGCCCAACAAATCAACGGAAGAAACTTAAATCTGCAATAATCCAGTCAAAAGCAAAATTGAAGTCAAACTAAAAGTACGAGAAGCAAAAAAGCTCGAAATAGTAAGAAGAAACCTAAAAGAAGCAGTAACCCAAAAGCTAAACAAGTTGAAAGAAGAGTTTGTGAGGAAACATCAAAATAGACTAAAGATGATTCCCAGTGACTTGTGCGATTGTGGACAAAGTCAGGACTTACAGCATATTTTTTTCTCATGTTCAATGAATCAACACAACATAGAAGTTCTACACAAATCCTTGAAGATTCCAAAAAATATATACGGTCCCTTCTCAGTGTTCGACGTAGTGTTCAGACTTTTAAACAGGGAAAACATTAAAATCATTTCCGGATTTCTAATAGCATCCAGCATCAAACTGTAGTGCAACTATTAACTGTGAGTTAATAAAAACAGTGTGTAATTAAAAAGTCAAGACATAAGAGCCCTACCACAACGTAGGGCAACATTGCAAACTAGTGTCACGATTTTGAAATATACTCTTCTTCTAAGATCCTTATTGTTTACCCCAATACTTACTCTGTTAACTTTATATGCCATTATTAATATTACAGTTTTAGAATTTTACCATAGTATTAAGAAATGTATTTATATTTTATTATGTATTATGTATTTCTGTCGAAACAAGTAAATTTTTTACTTATCGACTCAACCACTTTATTTATTATGATTTATATGTTTAATTATTAGTATCTTGTATTTTATATATTATTTATGATAATTAAAGTTTTTTTTTATTATTATTATTATTATTATTATTATTATCTCATTGCAAATAATCGACGATACCACCACCAATCAACCTAAAACCATAGCCGAATAGCCCTGGCAGCTGAGGCCTACAAAAATTGAAAAGAAGTAAGGAGGATGACAGTGATGACAGAAGTTTGTTCTAGTTTTTATCAGCTTCTGTGTTTAGGATTCATTCTATATTTGTTAAGGTTACAAATAAAGTTTTGATGAAAATTAATTTTTAGTGCTTTTATTTGGCACATTTTAATCGCTGATCTTTGATAAGTATGAGCAAAATTTCAAAAAATTTTGGAAATCCATATCTGCTATCTAATCTGATTTTTAAAAACTTAGCCCACATACTTTTAAAGAAAAAGCTAATTCTATTGCATAGACTTCCTCTGAATAACACCAATTATTTTACAGCAGTCACAAAAAAAATTAAAACTGTAATCAACTATACCACGTCTCCTCTACTGGTTTCAGTGGCGGCTCGTGGTTAAAGACATTGGGTGTTTTGCAAGATTCTGCCTTCCCAACCCCCCAAAAAAAGCCATTATTATTTTACATCTTTTATTCACCTACTTTTTATATATTAATTCTATTCTGCGGTTCTTTATTTTAGCAGCAAATTTATACTTGCGTATTAAGAAAATCTAATTTAATTTATTAACTTATAAACTACATGTTTTTCATGTACAATGGAAACATACGCTTTAAACAAAGCTCGCCGATCTAAAAAAATGCAGCCCAAACACTACGTGTCTTGGTGATAATTTTTAGAGAGCCGCGGGGAGGTCAGACGATGAGCGCGGGCGGTCCAAGCTGTGCACAGACCGTCCCGAAGCGACCCAGCTAATAAATGAATATCACCTGGCGAGCTTTTGTTATGTCTTTCACTGGTCCGCTCTGGACTTATTCTCAACTATGAACTGGTAGTAGGATACGTTCGCGTGCTATATATACTTTTTAATAATTAAAATTAATTTAAAATCAATGACTTTATCCATACAATTTAGTTTGTGTATATTTTATAATGTCTAAAATATTGTAGATGATACTTGAATTTTTTTGGCCGTTTTGCAGCTCTACAGCACTTATGCGCCAGCCGCCACCGACTGGTTTTTAATTTACAGAGTGAATAAATTTCAAATTTGCATTTTGTAAACATGGCAGTCTTTAAAAAATGGCTAATTTTTAACCAGCTATTCAAACAACTTAAAACTCAAAAGTAAATATATGAATCATTTTGCAAAAAAACTTAATTCGATACCTAGTTTTTAAATAAATGTTAGGAGGATTATTACTAAAGTTCGTGGAATCGAGTTTGATGTTTTAACTTATAATTAAGTTGACAGAATTAATACCGAGCAGTTTCATTTCAACAGAAGTTAATTAAATTTAGGTTAAATCAACAAGTTGGTAGTTTAGAGTCTAGAGCCAAAGATAGTGGACCATGTGAAAAAAGAAAAAAAGATCTCCCGTTTGTTTCAAGTGGTATTGATTTTAAGCTTTATTCTCATTTAAAAACGTTTCTGCTGTAGCCTAGCTATTTAATTTTTTTATACACCATAGAAATGATACAGTTAAATGATATAATAAAGAAAAATAAAAATAATCTTACCTGTTCATAACGGTTAATTAAAATTAACCTCTAAATCATAGTTAATAATTAGCAGCTAAAAAAATATAAATAAAAAAACAGCGTAACACAATCACACCCACTGCCCACCCGTTCAGTCCGAACACTTCTTCAACCCTTTCCAATTCCAAAACGGCGCCGAAACTGGAGTATCCCCTACAGAACAAGTGCGATTCCTATTAAACCCGGCGTTCTCCCAATACCTGCGACAATGATCGCACGAACAACTTGGGTTTTTGGCAGGTCCCACGTGGTGACCCGGTTTCTTGAAGACGGTTATCACTTGCCCGAAACGTTTCGCTATGTATCGAGGTTCGGTGTACTTCCCCGGGACAATAGTGAACGGCGATCTTAAAGACGGATCCACACTCAAACGTTGTTTGATCAGTAGGGTACTAGGCGATCTACTTAGAGTAGTACTAGGTGATGTACATAGCGGCGATGTGTTGCTAGAAGGATTTAGAGGTAAAATTTGCGATCTTTTAACATCGGACGTAAACATTTTGGGGGTGGAATTTGATTTCGACACGGCTATATTTTTTTGGTCGTTGTTCAGAACAGTCCAGCCCTTTTCCGAACCATCGCTGGCTTCCGAATCCGAATCCTTGGAAATGCTAATTTTGTTCAGTCTTTTATCCACAACCTCCTGCAATTTGTCCTGTTCCTTTAACATTTTATTCTTCGATTGTACGTTGTAGTTGTATTTCCACATTCTTTCCATCCTTTTGATTCGCAATTTATCTTCGGAATCTGCGTAATCGAAACTGTCACTCGGGGCTAAATTTATGCTGTTGGTCGTGTTGGTATTGGTCATCTTCTGCGAGCTGCAGGTGCTGACGGCTTCTTCTTCGATACGTCGAGGAACGAAATATAAGCTATCGTTTTGGGGAATGCTGGAACGGCTATGCAACAAGCTATCTACATCGGAAAATGTGTCTTTCCAAGATGTGTTCCCTACAGACGATTCGTAATCTGGTACAGTACAACTGGATACGGAAAAGGGCGTAATGGAACCTTGAAAACTTGTCATGCTGGATAAGGAACGACCGATTGTGGAATAGGAGCTCATTTTAGAAGGATAACCAGTACTGGCACTTTCGTTATCATCGGAATCTTCTTTTTCGACGGAAGTACTGTTCGTTTTACTTAACCGAAACGGTAGCTTCTTATCGTCGGCTTTTTTATGAGTAACGCACATATTTTTGGATTCGAATACAGTCTGTGGTGTTGATACTGATTTGCTTCTGGAATCAGACTCTGACGATGAACTACTATCGGTTTCTATCTCAGTACCGGTACAATAGACGTCTATGTGAATGGTGCGAGGTTTTTTCGAAGAATCTTCACTACCAGAACCCGTTTTGGTGGCGATTTTCGGCGGAGTTCCTTTAAAACTTGGCGATCGGCTCGATCTAGGCAAATCCTGTCACGAAATTTTTATTTATTGGTATGTTTTTATTCCAAATATATCTAATTAGTATTATTTGAATTAAAGTTAAAATGCGTGTTATGTTAAACGAATACTTTTTAATTTTATACACCATTGAAACATCTGCTGTAAAATTTTGCGCATAAAATAATAGGACGCGAGTAATTTTCCAAAACAGTAACGATGCCAATATTTTTTTTATATAAAAATTACCAAAACTAATTTTATTATTCTTATTGTAAAAAGTAAAACGTGTCTAATATTAATTAAAAAATCATTATTGAAGTGGATTTGTACGTAACTAAGTGTATTGTAAAGGTATAGGTATCCCTCATGGTTCAAATATCAGTTCTAAAATCAATTAAATGATAGTTTCTATGTGGATAATTGTACCACAAGTGTGAACAATGTAACTGAATTGACGGATTTTATTAAGGAAGCTAGCAACATAATGGAGGGCAAATTTGAATTGCGAGACTGGGAGTGTACTTTAACTAATGGAAAAGAATTAGACGAAAATTCTAGATGTATGTCATCGGTTTTAGGACTCCAATGGGATCGCAAATTAGATACAATTGAAGTAAGTTTGGTTAGAGAATATACATTTTGCATACAATTACAAAAAGAACTATTTTGTCAGTAGCTAATAGGCTTTTTGATCCTATAGGTTTCACTTGCCCAATTCAACTGTTTCCTAAATTGTTACTTCAGAGACTGTGTCAGTCCAAATTGATGCAACAGTACCTGGAGATATTATGGAAAACTTTCTGATGTGGTTGAAAGACTTACCATTACTAGCTGAGATTCACATTTCAAGGTGATTATTTGTTAAACCGTCCTCCGAAATTAGTTTACACATGTTTTATGACGCTAGTAAGGATTCTTACAGTGCAGTAGTCTTTTTAAGGTGTGAAAGTCAAGGCGAAGTGCATGTACAGTTAGTTCAAGGAAAATCTACGGTTGCTTCTCTTAAAAACCTATCAATTCCTAGACTTGAATTATTAGGTGCAACGATAGGTAGTAGGTTAGTAATATCAGTCGCCAAAAGTTCAAATAATTTGGATTTCTCAGTTTATTATTGGTGCGATTCTACTGCCGTTCTCGCATGGATTCAAAATGATGAATACTGGAAACCTTTTGTGTGGAACACGTGTACGGAAATTCGTAAACTTGTGGATAAAAGTCGTTGGTTTTACGTTCCTAGTCAACTAAATCCAGCTGATTTGATTTCAAGAGGTTGTTCCGCAAAACGGTTAGTTTCTAGTTATTGGTGGGAGGGTCCAATATGGTTAAAAGACCCAAAAAGTTGGCCAAAACAAAATTTTGAGTCCGACGAACAAGAAATTTTAAAAGAAGAAAGGTCCACATTAAAATCTATTTTGAAAGCAAAAAAAGATTTTTATTTGTTCTATTATTTTTCAAAATACAATTGGATTTTAAATCATACAGCTTGGGTAAAAATGTTTATCTATAATTCACGTATTCGCTCCGTGCGAAGTCATGGAAAGGGAAGCAAAAGCGATACTAGCGCTAGCTGCGGATAATTCGTGCATTTTAGGGCGATATTTTGTAATTTTGGCATATCAAATACACGTATACATTTTACTTTTTTTCAAAAAAAGTAGGTAAAAACAATACAATAAGCAACCGGAGTTGCTGTGTTGAAAATTGTACAAATACTAGCAAAAAAACAGTGAAACTTATATAAAAAATTTCAGTAACAAAGTGGAAATTAAATCAAAGAAATAAATGGATAGATATACAATAAGAAGAAAAATTACCTTTATTTTTGTAATAATAACCGTAATGCTGCAAATAGTAGACATCAGAAACTTGAAAGGTTTTAAATAAACAATAAATTATAATTTTACCATGTTCTTTAATATCCCTTATTCTTAAATGTTCATTCAGCAAGGACTAGATTTCAAGATTTCTGCCTTTGATTATTATATGTGGTTGGAACGCAATTTTGTAACTTACTGATGGGAAATCAGTTTTAATCATTCATTCTATGTTTTCTTTCGAACAAAAATGAAAATATGAGTAATGATCCTTTTTTTTTATACATTTTAACTTCACGCTATTATTAAATGGTATTTTTTTATTTTGACAGAATAGACTAATTCTTTAATGAAAACTTATTAGACTTAGGCAACTTCTCATACATTTTCCAGTAAATACTGTTGCCTGCCTATATTTTATTATTGATTTTTTTCGATTATACATAATTTTCTTTAATTTAAGCGATAAAAATATATAATAATAATAAATTAATGTTTTACTTGTTTTACAAATCCATATACTTTTATTAAAACTACCATATATACTTTTTAATTACGAATTCTATTAAAAGTTGTATTTGTCAGTATAGGCAGAAATAGTCCTTTAATACCAAATCAAATTGGCGCTGCTGTCGCGCACGGAGCGAATAGGAACATGTTCTCTTCCTTGTCATAGTCAGAGTTGGTGTGAGAGAAAACGAATTGGTAATTTATCTGTGAAAGAAATTGACGACGCTGAAGTTGCTCTTATTTGTTTAGTTCAACAGGAATCCTTTGAGGGGCTAAAAGATAGAAACATAAATTCTTTACATCCATTTTTTGATTCTGATAAGGTCATGCGTATAAAAACTAAAATAACCCAGAGAGAGGATACATTTGATTTTTTGTATCCAATTCTTTTGCCATCAAAACATGTTATCACAAATAGGATAGTTATGTATTATAATTTACAAAATTTCCATGAAGGTCTGTTGTGTGTGTGAGAGAGAGAATGGCATTAGACTAAGTCTGTTTGCCACAAAATGAGAAATATATATATACAAAAACTTTATTAAAATGATTGGTAAAACCGAATTATATTAGTAGGTTAATTGATGATAGGAACTTAGTGAGATATGTATAAATTTATTTATTTTCAAGAGCAAGTAGGTACGTAATATTATAGGGCGGGAATATATTCATATTAATGAGCATTTTATACAATTTTATCAATTTTTATCAAATTTTGTTCTAATTTGTTTCAAGATCATCAGTTTTTCAAAGAGGAGACATCACTTATTTACTATTATCTAACAATTTTTTTAAACGATTTTTTCAGTGTTAGTATCGCTTTTATAATATTCATAAATTTTCTCGAAATAAAAATCTTTATTTTTAAATATCTCTCTACGATATTATTTTGCCAGCATTTAGAATTATCCTGTATAATATAAAAATAATATTTCTAACGAGGAAGTGTTTTTTTTTTGACCGCATAATGTATTACATTTAATGCAACGATTCGCTCAGTCTAGTTTTTCTTTTCGAGATATTTCCTAATTTTTTCTGTCATTTATGATATTTTTAGAACCGGATTTATTTTTATCAAACTAATTGGTTCACAAGTTGTTGCGGAAAGTCAAAACGCCCGCAAGAATAGTATCATTTGTTAATTTCGGTCTTAAAATAGATTTTTTTTGTCTGTGCGTCTATCAACCCAAGAATAATTCGTAAATATATTTGTTCCGCACTGTCTACACTTGAAAATTTATGTACAGAGATGGTCCGTATTATTATGCAGGTTTACTACTTCTTTAAGTCTAAGTCGCGCTTTATATCTTACAATTTGTTCATGAAAAAAAAAAAAAAAAAACGATAGATGTAAAGCCAGACTAAATTTCATCACGATAAATAGAACATGTTCCTATTTTTCATCCATTTTACCTTGAAATTCAGAAGTACCAACCTAATAAACAACCAAGCTAAATACTTAATAAATGTTACATGTATGTGTTGAACAATTTGGTTTTGTTTGTATTAGGTTTATTTCTACGCCTAAGGTTGCCATATTCAAAAATACAATTTCCTGGCATTCCTAATGAAAATTTCGGACATTTCACTGAAAATCCGGACAAAATAATAAAACTTCAACTCATGAAATAATTACTAAACGTTTTTTTGTGTGCATACCGTTAAAAACTAAATAAGTTCCTACATTAAAAATTCGTAAAATTAAACATAAAATATTTTATAATTCAATTCGGAAATCATGTAGACGTTAATTTTAACAATCAAAAAACTGTGTATGCGAGATTTTACATTTGATAATTTATCTGAAAATTCCGGACAATTGATAATTCAAGGTATAGTCCGGATAAAACACCAAAAGTACGGACATGTGCGGACTTTTTTCTGACAGGCGAGAGAATTTCTGTTCCGTCCCGGTCATTTTACTGTTAACAACCTAATTACTAAATAGATGGGTTGTCTTTTGAATTTTGCATATAGAGCTGGATTAATAATAATACTCTCCCTAATTCACCCCCTTACGAGTGAATTTTGAACCCAAAAGCTGAGCTTGTGCGGGGAAAGGGACGGCTATTATTATTATTTGCCGTGGCGCTCCAGGGCGACTTAAAGATGATTGATGGTACCATTGGACTTACAGGTAAGGAAAACCTGGAAAAACCTCACCCACCATCATCGAGACGGTAATGCATGGCAATTTTATAATATGCATGTCATATCAACAGAAATTGAATTTCCATTAATACGGCACACATCAAATCCTATACCGAACCATGCAATTTAATTAAAAATCCACAATAGATTGATTTTAAGGACTTTACTGTTTTTCTAAGTGTTTTCCACGAAGAATAATGCACTCCTGCATTCGTTCGAACCAACTCTGGAAGCAGTTACTCCACTCATTTGTTGGCACAGTCAAAATTGCGTCTTTGAAGGCGTCAACTGCGTCTTCCGGTAACCACGAAGTCCGTTCTTGATTTTCGGAAAGGTAAAAAATCGTTATGACTTAAGTCGAGACTGTACGGAGGATGGTCTAACAATTCGACATTTTCTTGTTCTAAAAATGCAATTGTCTTGGTGGAGGATGATTCGTCGTTCGTGGTTGGTTTTTTAAAGCACAGCGATTACTTCTGGCAAACAAATGGTTGTATACCAATCAGCAGTAACAGTTCTTCGATCTTGCAGAGGAATTGTTACTACATGACAAATGTCTCGAACATCTTTTTGGACACATTTCGAGAACGGATTACTGTTGTCGGATTTTCTACACCTTGAAGCACCCAAACAGACGATTGGCGTTTATTTTCGGGTTCACATGAGTAAATCCACGATTCATCACCCCTGACGCTGCTGTACACGTTTTTTAGAGTTAAATCGGTTTCGAGTGTTTCGAGACCCATTAACCCTAGCTTCTTTCTGTCCTTCGGCCAACAGATGCTGTATCCAACGGTAAACTTATTTTTTTTTACACACAATTATTTTGCAATTTTTTTTTTGAATTGACGTCTTCGAAATCCCAAACGATACCTCAATCTCTCGATTAGTTATATGTCGATCTTCGCATCAACTATGGTTGCCACCTGTCCTTTTTTGAAAAGGACAATCCTTTTTTTAAACAAATTGTCCTTGTGACTTTTCAAAGCTTAAAATGTTCTTTTTTACGCACATGTCCTTTAAAAGGACCTGCTTTTTATAAAAATATAAGCCGAAGGCCTTTATCTGATGAGGACCTCTTTTTTTTTAGAAGCTCTCGGCAGAAGAAGGACCAGTTTATTAAAATAACTGTTGAGGACTATTTTAAACCGGATCCCTGTCGTCCCCGTTCTCCTTTATTCACTTTTAAAAAAGGTGGCAACCCTAGCATCAAAGTTTTCCTGGGTGATTGCCGTTTTTGGTGGAACTGTCCTTGGATCGTCACTAAGACTCATCCGTCTACGTTTGAAAACAGAAACCAACTCAGCGAGGCATTCTTGTTGAGATAATTGTAAAAAAAATGTTGCGCAAAATTTTTCTCAATTTCATTGTTCGAATAACTTGTGAACTTTGACCATTCGCTGTAGCTACAACATTATACTTATCAAACTATCGCAATGAAACTTTGGAAATAGGTTAACTAAAAATAGAGGTATATTTTCAATAGTGACATTTGATTCGAGGCGCCTTCTATATGTGCCTGTACGTAAAAGTAAAAAGACATCCCTCGTATATATCAGTGTGTTAAATAATTTAGTTTTGTTTTTATTGGGTCTATTCCTACATAAATATAAAAATTCATGAACATATTCACAATAAATGTAAAACCGTCTTCATCGTAAAGAAATTTATGAAGACTTTTTTTACATATTTTTTTTAGCAACCGAAGCAAAATAAAAAATAGTCAAATTTTTGTACCTATATACCGAGTTTGGTTATATTATGATCCGTTTTAGATGTCGAGGGGAATTCAAAACAACCACTATCCCATTTACTTGTGATATTCCTTTTTGTCAGGTTAGCTTCAAGGCTTTAAATATTAGACATAAATATTATTATTCAGTATTTTATAAGAAAAGGTAGAATAAAAAGTTTTTAGATCGACAAATTGTGTATTTTTGAAACGCACTATATGTCAAATTCAACGTACATGCATTTCTTTAGAGCAGAAGTTTCAGAAGTGTTTAGTTCTAAATGTATCCCTCAAAAACCAATAAAGATTAAATAGTCGGTTGTTTGAAAATATGTAGAATTGTATTGCAAATATCGACAAGATTGAATTGGCTAGTCAAAATTAGATGCGCAAATCTAAGGGGTCATCTCAGTTAATGACTGAACTTCGATGCTATTGTTTCAATGATATATTTGTGTTCATTTGTGTTAACTGAGATAACTGCTCCCATTTTTAGATTTGCCAGTGCGCATCTAATTCTGACTTGCCATCTCAATCTTGTCGTACTGTAGTTAAGCACTAAAAAAGCACTTATACAGGGTGTTCCGTAATTATGTTCAATATTTTAACAGGGTGTTCTACCGACCATTTAAAAAGGGGTATTATTATAAAATTTAGCAATTGGAGTCCTTAAAAAAACAACGGGCATTCTTGTATTAAAACATTAGGATACGTTTTCTTTCAAAACTATTGAAATCATCATCGAAAATCATGGTCGAAATTATTGCCGAAGTCACGAAATTAAATCGTCAAAAATATAAATGCAGCAGCGTGTGGATCAAAAGACAAAGAAAGAGTCCAAAAAAAGGTATCGTATACAATTAAGGGGGATTATCGGCGAAATCACGGAAGTCATATAAAATCAAATTTAGGTGATTTCCGAAATACGGGTACGTTTTAACCTTAGTGGATTCACCATCGGTCTAAGCGTTTTCAAGAAAAACGAAAACTTTTTTGCCATTTTGTGACCTAATATCTCGACAGAGAGGACCAAAAGGTTGGTAGAATACCCTGTTAACATCCTTATGGCACGGCATTAAAAAAAATACAAAATTCTTAAACAATGAAAAGAAAAAAAAATTAAATACCAAATGTTTTGACTTACGTGGGTGTAATGTCATATTATTTGATAAATAATATTTTTCCCTTTTTTTTTAATAAGTGTACTTTACTTGATTCAAATTCATATACACTAAATTAGTGACAATTTAATTTTGGCTCCATTGACAATTAAATTGGCAGTAGACTTGTTTATTATTATACTCTTCACACAATAGTCTGTGAAGAGTATTATAGGTTTACTTCGTCCATCCGATGTCACGTTTTTTGTCAGCAGAATAAGTCAAAAACGAAAAATGATTTCAAATTGAAATTTTTTGCAAAAATCAAACTCTATAAAGGGACAAAGTATATTGATTTAAAAAAAATCTCAATAAAACTTTAATCCAGGAGTAACTATTAAACTGTCATAATTTGAACATGTAAATGCAATTACACTAAAGTTAAATGCAACACACACTACATGACAGGAGATGTGTTGATTGCCTACACTCAATTAGAGTACTAATTCAAACATCAATAAAAAAAATCGGTAAAAGTACTTATATTATTTTGTGATAATTAAATTACCTAAATAAGATTAGGACTAAGATTATAAATAGGTAACTACCAATTAAAGCATTTATTACAATATTAACAACTCATACTATGTTTAGTTTACTCAAAAAAAGTATTGATGAAACTACATCACTTTTGCTTTATCTCTTGAGGATTCGTTGATATCATCTATCAAACAATATAGAATTTAAACCAGTTTGTACATAAGGGAAAAGAAGAGGTTGTTCAAAAAGTAACCGAATTTCATCTATACTTTAACTTTCAAGAAGTTTAAGATATTGACAATACACCTTCGTAGTTTTATTGGTTTTTGAGAAATGTGTATATGAAGGTAAATCCCTGTGCTCCGCCCCTGACCTATGTACAATAAATAAAAAGAACAGTTCAACAATTATTTTTTTACATAATCTCCCTTAATCTCAATGCATTTATCACAGCGATGCTCCAGCATCTCAAAAGCGTCACGGAACAAATTTTCTTCCACACGCATGCCAATAATTTTTTTTTAATTTGGAGTTGTAGTCTGTAGTCGCTAGGAACCAAATCGGGCGAATATGATGGATGTTTTGCCAACTGAAATCACGCTTATTGAATAGAATTCAATGCGACGCAAGAGGTATGACTGGGAGCGTTGTCTTGGTAGAACAGCACACCTTAACGCAATTTTCCACGACGTTTTTCTTTTAACGCATCACGCAATTTAGACAGTAATTTTGCGTACTAATAGCTTCTTTTTGTAGATAGTCAACCAAAATTACCTCTTCAGCAGCAGAAAGAACATCACATTACCAACTGATGGAATCACACAAACATATTGGTTTTTGTTATGTCGATACATTTTGAATTTTTTTCGTTTTTCAAATTGTAAGGGGTTTTCTGTACCCCTTGAGAAAATAAGCTCAGAAATGGCGTCCACGGTAGGTTACTCGAGCGCCAGATTATTTGAAGTTTCCACTAACTCTTGAGACTGTGTTGAAAGTACTCGGGCAGGTTTAGATGGAGTGACAAATTCTATAGATTACGGTGATTTAAGACTATCTGAACTGAGGGTATAAGCAACAGGCTTTAACCGTTGTTTGTGACAAATAAAGAATTTTACAGAAGGTGAAAAACACGCTCACGAACGTGTAAGTACTCGATTTAGCTTTTGATGATCAGGTAGATTCATTCCTATCTGTACATACACATAATACACATAACCTATACTGACAATGTATTAAACTGTCAAAATCTGAATCTACTGTAAATAGGTCTAGGGTGGAGGAGCATAGAAAGATCAAACTTCGTATGTATAGAAACAAAAATATGTATAAAACATTCAACACTTACCCTTGAATCGTCCCTTTTCACCGAACTAGGCGACGTAGAACTCCTGACCGACGATTGCCTACTGCGATTATAAATAGCTCTACCCCTCTTTAATTTACTACCCTTCCCTTTACCTAAATCACCTTCGACAGCATCGCTTTTCATCATCGGCGACGTACATTTATTAGCCACCTCGTAGGTCTGTACGGAAACGTCTCGCTTAATCTTGTAATCAGGATTACCGCAGAACGTGCAATCTTCTCCACAGATGTCTTCGCAAGTCTCGCGCACCGGTGATATCCTTCGGTAATCGTCCGCATACTGGATATGGTGACACCAAGGGTCGCCGCAACCATAGTAACCTTCAGTCTTTTTATCGCAACACAACGAGGGCGTTTGACACCGTAAACTCTGAGTTCGGCCGCAAGACGACGCCGCTTTATTAGACAGCACTATGTTGCAGGTGCTTCTGCATTTCCTGTGGTACATCGGGCTGCAGGTGCTCAAATCGCTGCTGTAGGCGGAATCTTGGGTCGGCACGGTCAAACTCGGCTTTGACGGCGGTGTTGAAGTGAAAAATAAATTCCCCTTCTGGAAACCGTATAATTTATCCTGATTGGAGCTGCCGCTATCCGAAGTGACCACTTGGTTTTGATTATCATTGGCGCTCCACGAGTACAGCATCTTGACGCCCTTTTCGTCTTGTACGGTGTCTGTTTTGGGGGGGTTTATGGGATTTTTGAGACCAGGATGGGTGATGGTGAATTCCGCGCGTACTGACCATTGCTGGGGTTGTTGGTCGGGTGGGCCGCCGTACATTATAGCAACGGTGTTACCTCGAACGCAAATGTCGCTTTTTCATTTTTCTGTATAGTTTTGGAATTTGAAATGTTGATCAGTAAGAGTAGAAAGATGCCCAAGTAACGTTTTTAGATTGATTCAATTTTATTTACGTAAGGATGTTCTCGGATTTTCATCAATATCAGCTTTGGAAACAAAAGATTGTGAAAAGGAACAAATTACATAACGTATCTTCAACAATACCCATATCTCATGTGATCTGATAAAACAAGAAATATTAATGAAAATATCTTCTTTATGACAACGTAAGTATTAGTATCAATAGAGAGTTAGTACAAGTTCAAATAACAGCAGGCACTAATAGAAAGTATAAATTTTAATGGGAATTTTATTAAAGATAATGTCTGCCTTTAATTGTGGATGTATAAGAACCGTAAATAGTAGTGACCTTATAGGTTTTCGGGTGCCTACATTCGTGTGTATTAGTTTAAAATATAGGTTATTGTTATTATGATTATTTACTCAATTTCTTCATCGTTGAATTTTACTAAAATACCACTATTTCCTCTTCCATATTTACTTTTGTATTTATAACAAAAATCTATTTATAGACTTCAAACAAAAATCTAATTGTTTTTTTTTTATATATATAAAAATTTAGGTTAGCAGTAATTGCTATTTTAGCGCCAGCATAATTCTCCAGCTCTAGGTGTCTGCAGTTATGTGAACCAATATTTCTCAAATAGTTAATGATCCCATAACTGTATTGGACAGTGCTCGTCATTCAGAGGGATCACATTGTCAATTTTATCGGTCCCATAAATTATGATAAACGTTGTTGCATCCAGCTGTTAACAAGACATCTTAATAGCTTGAATGTTGATGTAGATATTCAAGAGGTAAAACTAAGACAAGTACATGAAAACCGAAATATTACAAGAAATTGCTGATAAGTTTTTATAAAGGTAAAAGAAGGAAAACATTTTTATTTAATTTTAAAAACTGTAAATTACTTATTAGTTAATTTATTAGGAAATTAAATCACAAAAAAGCTTGATTAAATCCTCTTAACGTTTTTGAAAAGTGAGAATAATTTTTAATATAAAATAAAATAGAAGGTGATATGTTAAAAAAAAGTTTATTACAGACTGAAGATATTAAAACTTCTGTATATTCGAAAATAATTTTAAATTATGGAATTTAATATTGCCTGCCTTTTGTATTTTTTTATATCTCTAATAGTGCCGGAAATGTTGGACTTTTTCACACTAATGGATCGTATGCATATTAACAGTAGCACACTACACTTCTTCTGCAATCATAATGACTAAAACACAAATCTAATATTTTTTTAATAATTTGATAAACTTTATAATAGTAGTTTGTGCAACAATAGTGGATATGATGGCCATATCGCACGAATACGAAATTTGGGCACGACGCCGTAGGCGGAGTCCTTAAGAATCTGAGTGCGATATGGACAATACACTCGAGTTGTACAGTATATTTTTTCTACGACCCACTAACGGAAATCTACAAATTAAAAAATATTTTAGGTTATTAAGACAAAATAACTAATTTTAAAATAATTTATGAATTTTACTGATTTTTAAAATAAAATAAATATGAAAAAAAAAAAAAATAGTCGCCAGCCGAGAATCGATCTCCGGCTTTTCGCGTGAAAGTCAAGCACTCTGTCCATGCCTCTACGTCCACTTTTTACGATCTTGGTTTTAATACTACTAATTAAAATAGTTTCATATAGTTTTATTAATTTTATTTATTTTTTATTTTTTAATATGATTCAAATAAAAATAGAAATGCTATTATTTACGATTATTTATCGATTCTACACAAAAATAACTCATTTTAATGTATATTTAAGCTTAATAATTAAAAAATATAGTGACAATTAGTTTGGCAGGATTGTTATTTATTTAAAATTTTAAAAATAATAGTAGTTGGGTGTCCAAAATATAAACTGTGATTGGTGGATTTCATTTTTTGCAGTGTTCTCACTATCTAGAATGGATATGAAATATATTCGTTCAGTTGAACGCAATGACTTACTTTTTCTTTTTGTAGTCTGTGCGTAGATATGCTAATATCCATGTGGGTGTAGAAAAACGTATTTTTTTAATTTTAATTTCAAACAAATTTAATACAAAAAATAAAAACGACATTACAATAATTCACTACTTCAAGGTAAAAACCAGATAAGTCGGCTTTTTTGAAAATCGTGTTTTATACACCATTCGATTCGTTAAGTTAATACGCTTCGAATGATGCAACTAATATCACATTATGTAACATAATATATATTTTTCTCTGAAAAAAATTAAGTATGTCAACGTATCCTCCAAAATGAAAATATATATTTGTATTATCCGGTTTTTAGAAAACAAAAAATGTTATGCTATATTGTTATAATGATCAGGATTGTCATATAGTAGGATAGCTCACTGCAAATTTCGGTCGTCGATAACGAAATGAAAACGATTTTGGGTGAGATTACAGAACGTCTGTAACTTTGCAGATCTACAAATATGGCGGCAACTTTGCAGATCTGCAAATATGGCGGACTTACAACACTAAACCCAAATCCATTAAAACTCGATAATCTAACACACGAAAAGTATTCAATCAAAAGGAACAGAAGAATTCATGGTTATTAAAAAAAAATGTAAAGTAAAAATTGACAATCTGCAAGTCTATAGGATGTTCTAACCTCCTTAAGGGTGGAATTGGGTTTAATGTTGTTGGGGGTAATAAACCACAATAAATATTGCGAATTTGCAGATATTTTTTGGAATACGAAAACTTGATACTTGCATCTGTAAGTCCGCCATATTTGCAGATCTGCAAAATTGTAGACGTTCTGTAATATCACCCTTTATATTCAAAAAATCACATAAGAAAGACATGACCGTGATAATTTTGTTTGCCTGCAATTTCAAATCCTAATTCATTGTAAACCTACCTTTTAAACCTGAATTATTATTATTTTTACTTTTAAACCATGTGTGTGTGAAAGGAAGAAGGATGGCAATGGATAAACTATTAGTACAGATAGTTAATATCTAATCTATACAGGGTGTTCATTAAAGAATGGACCAAACTTAAGATCCGGTTAGTTTGGACAAAAATAAGTTTATTTAAGCCAATTTACCTTAGTAGAATTTTGCTTGCAAGAAGTTACAGGGTGGAGATAATATTTTTTAAGCTATTGCATAGCTTTTATCGCGGGTTTTGAGCGCGGCGGCGACCGAATCAAGAAATTCCGTAACGCGTAAAGAAAAAAAACCTAACACCCCCCACTCCGACCGGCACAGCGGTGCGGCGTTAAACAATATTAACTTCTTCCCATTTATTCAATAAAAGAAAATCGAAAAATCGAAAAACCGAAATAGAAATTCCGTAACGAAAATAAACCTAACACCCCTCACTCCGACCGACACAGCGGTGCGGCGTTGAAAGCCGTGCGTCGTCTAACGTCATTTCAGTTCGGCAGACTTTGGCACGGTGTTTGTGTGCGTGCACTAGACGTATGCGTGTAGACTAGCTGCTAACTGCTCATAACTGATTCTATCTCTTTTAGACACAATTTCGGAAAAATTGAATTTGAAAATGAATAATGATCCACAAGAATCCACAACAAAATATGGGACCACTATTAACGCGGTATTTTCCAGATTTTTAGAGGATATCAAGTCTCAAACTTATGTTTCTTATTTCAGTTACTATAAACCCATAGTTTCAATGATAAAAATTCCTGAATAACCTACATGTATTGTAAGATAATAAAAATATTTTAAACAATATTAACTTCTCATTTATTCAATAAAAGAAAAAAAATTATTTTCTTATCGGTCATCACGCTCAAAAAGTGTAACTTGAATTAATATCAAAGAAAAAACTTGAATTAATATCAAAGAAAAAAAATATACTGCATAAATAAAATAAATAATTATAATTGCATAAGTTGATAAAACATGCTATGCAATAGCTTTACCGCGGCAGTCCCCGAGTGTCACACGTATTTTTTAGTAAATATGCCCAAATTTTGTAAAAGTAAGTTTTTTTGGATGATACAAACGAATGCCAGCTTTTTTGTTGCAATACATGTACAGGGTGTTCTAAACTGGTACCAATCCAGTATTTACTTCAGATTTTTTCTAAGAATGGATATTTTTAAAAAATAATTGATTATTTTGAAAAAGTGTTCAATTTGCTTTAAAAAAGGTGTACTTGTTGCATGTCGCTAAAATGCATCATTTGAAGGAAAACTTAATTTAGAGTTAGTACTGCAAATATATGGATTATTCCAAAATTTTTCAATTAATAATGTTAAATCTAAAGATATTACATAAATTATAACAAATTAATTCAGAACTTTATTAAATACTTAGTAGATACTGAAACAACGCAAAAAATATGACAACATAAATGTGGAAGAATATTTAAAATAACAAATTGAAAAAATTAACAATTTTAAACTAAGAACAATAGCAGAAGCGAAAAATTCATTTCAAATTATTTGTCCAAAATGTCCGCCATTTTCTTCAATGCAGTTTCTACATCGTGTCAGGAAATTTCTTCTAACTTCGAAGAATGTCGAATAACATTAGCCGTTATTACTATTTTTTGCCACAATTAATTTCTGGTATTAAAGGTAGGGCCAGAATAAACTAGAGTCTTAATATAACCCCGGAAATAAAAATTCAGAGGGTTCAAATCTGTACTACGTATAGGCCATGAATGTCCACTTCCTCGTCCAATCCATCGATGGGGGAGGGAATACGTTAAATGATTTCATACTGCTATGAAATAATGGGCAGGGGCGCCTTGAAAATACCACATACCAACTCTAATATTTAAAGAAACATCATCTAGCAGATCAATTAAATTGTACTCGAGGAAATGTAAGTAATCATTTGCAGTCATTTTTGCTGGAAGTTCAAAAGGTCCTATAAGGTTATCTTCGACTATATAAAACATGTATTTAAATTCATGCTTAA